ACCCGCGTAGGCTGCGCGCCTCTCCGCGGAGCCCCGGGGCCGGGCTGCGCGCCTGCGCTCTCGCTCCGCGGGGCAGCAAAAGCAGCGGGCGCGGAAGCCGCAGGTGCTCCAAGGGCTTGGGGCGGTCGCCCGGGGCTACCGGGATCCTTCTCCGGTGCGACCGCTCCCCGTCAGTCCGCGGGGCTCTCGAAGCACCGGGCGCCGTCTCCTGAGCTCCCCGCTGTCCCCGGGGGTGGGACAGGACAAACTCCCGGCAGCGAAAGGACAAACTCCAAGGCTTCCAGGAAGCCTTGGGGGAATGTTTAGCGCGCCGAAAGGAGTTTCCAAACCCTCACATGAAAAAAAAAAAATAGATGTTTTAAGGGTCCCACTCAACCTCTCTCCTCCGCCTTTCCTCCAGCGCCGCTTAAAATAAAAGAGCGCTATTTCAGCCCTGAGAAGAGTTACGCCACTTTAAGAGTTGATTTAATTATAGCTCCGGTGTTTTTTAGCGTAGACTCATGAATTGCTCTCAAGACTTTCCTTCCGCGGTTAAATGTTAAAGCTTTTAGTTGCGGTTTGGCATACGCACACCGAGGAGAGGGGGGGAAACCTGCCAACGCCTAAAATAAACACCACGTTTGGGGTACTGGCTGGTGGGACCACCCCCTCCTTTAAGTCGTTGCATCCACCGTGTGGGTCCACATCTTCTACCTCTATTAAATGACAAAATAATTATCTGGAGAAAGACATTTTTCAAAGTGCTGCAACTTCCGTGTACTTTCCTGCAACTTTTGGACAGTTGCACATTGTAAGCAGGGACTGAGTGGTCGATTTTTTTTCTGAAGACCAGAAGCTTCCCCAGGGTGTAGAGAAATTGAGGGTTTCTTACGGCACTACAGAGGCTCTGAGTTGCTGTCTCCTTTCTGCCAGATGATGTCATGCCCCGGTTTCCTGGGTACCCAAAGTCCGCGGGATGGAATCTGAACTCATTTGGTCTGTTTGTTTCCTCGGATGGCTGGAAAGTGAATGAACCTGTATTTATTTCCGTGACGGCCGTGTGGCTACGCTCCCGCTGTCCCCGTGTTCCCATAGCGTGACTGGAATCAAAACAGCTCTGTGGTGTCTTCTCATTCCCTTGGATGACTGCTCTTTGCACTACCTATCCCATCCCTATCTACCTCATCCCAACCTATCACAGAATCACAGAATCTTCTAGGTTGGAAGGGACCTTAAAAAGCATCTTGTCCAACCGTTAACCTAACTGACAAAAATAGTCACCCACACAACAAACAAGGAGCATCATCACTAAACCATACCTCCCAGCACTACATCAACCTGTCTTTTGAACACCTCCAGGGATGGTGCCTCAACCACCTCCCTGGGCAGCCCATTCCAATGGCTGATAACCCTTTCAGTGAAAAAATCCCATCCCTTCCTACCCCATCCCTAACGGCATGATCCATGCTAGGAAACACTGGAGTTGTGCTTCCTGTCCTCCTTTTCACATCCCCTTTGGCTGGCCCAACAGCCCTGGCTGGGATTCAGTTCAAAGCCAAGACACAAGTAGGTGTCCACAAGGAGTTGTCTACCTGTGCTCCAGTTTAAGCTTCGGTTGTGGCCAATGGAAGTCTTCTCAGGACAGTCACTGGCACTTGGAGAGTCATCTGGTCACCCTAAAGTAGACCCACCAGCTGGGATTCGTTCCTTGTGGTCTCCAGGTCTGCCTCTAGGACCTTGTGTAGGTCTTGTGTCATATCTGCCAGCCTCATGTAGCTTTCTTGAATGCCTGGTTGTATCTTTTTGGGCAACTGAATTTCTCATGCCATGACTGGTCTGCTGGGTTGCTTTTTGGGGTGCATTCCCTGTACTGACTAATGGTTTATGAGTTTAAACAGCTCGTCACCTGTAGAAAGTAAGCACCAGTCCTGAGTTTAGTCACTCCCACTTTGTCCTGATCCAGCCGCCCCGCTAAACCTGCAGACAAACAGCAGCACCAGCATTAGCAAGTGGCCCAAATCTGCTCGGAAGTCAGCTGTGTCAGAAACAAAGTCAACCGTGGCCAGTCGCTCCGCTTCTCCACGGAAGTTCCAGTGCCTCACCAGCCTCACAGGAAAGAATTTCTTCCTAATATCTAATCTAAATCTCCCCTCTTTCAGTTTTTACCCCTTGTCCTGTCATCTCATGCAACATTCATTTATTTACAAGGTGATCAGACACATAAATAGGCATCCTCTTGCTGTGGGAGAGGCTCTGTGATGACAGCACCTTTATCCTGGGAAGCAGCTTCCTGGATATTAATTAAGGCAAGAGGAGGTAGAATATGTGGGACCACCCTTGTGCTAAGAGGGGCCTACACAAGAAGCATACCCAGAGCAGGGATATCTGAGCCAAGGGATATGCTACTAAACCAGGATGTCCACCTTATCGCAGCCTCTCCTGCCTACCACTGAGGTTTTAAGGAAAAGCATGACTTTGTGAAAATGTGCAGAAATCCACCTGAGGCTGCTGGAACTGAGAAGACACGAGAGCATCAGAAAGTGTGTGTCTAACAAGATGATGGAAAGAGAGAGGGCTAAAGAGAGGAAAAAAGTAACTCTTACTTGACTCCTTCCTTTGTCCCTTTTTCCTCCTCTGAAAGAAGCGACTAAGCCATGCCCCAGGATGTCAGTGGCACACCCCGTGACAGTGGAGATTGGTCTCTGTATTCAGCATGGTGTATGTCTCAGGAAAGCTCTTCCAGAGCTTCTTTAGTAATTTCCAAAGCTCTTGCACAGGACTGGTTCTGACACGGGCTGAAGCATTGCAAACCTTGGTTGGGCAAGGGTGAATTCTCCCAACAGTCCCTTGAGAGAGCACGGGTACTACCTCTCCTTTGTTGTGGTGTCCCTCTAGGAAGTGGGTTCCTCTGTAGGGTCCTCTAGGTCATCCGTAGGGTTCCTCTAGGTCATCCGGCAGAGCTGTACGGGCAACAAGCTCTTGGTCTTACTCTGGAAGCCAGCATGGAACAAAGGATAATGAATACGTCTTGACTTTTGGGGTTAAATGTTACTAGAAGTAATTTCTGGAGCTTCTGTAGAGGGTTTCCAGTAAAAGCCTTCTTTTGTCATTGCATTTCTTCCTGGCATATCTGTGGCAGGGCCCAGCAACTCACATCAGGCATTGCGACATATTTGGTTTGAAAATATTCTGGAATGGGCCAAGCATGGGCTACTCAGCTGCACTGGATGGCTTCTAGAGGAACTTGGGGCACTAAGGCCAAGGGAGCCCTCTCTTCGTAGGGGCTGGCTCTAACGTGACTAAGAGCTGTTGCAGACTGTGGTAGCCACCTGGGTAAACGTCCCACGTGGGTGGAATTTCTCATGTTCTACCACAAGCATTCCAGGGTGGTCTGGCTCAGCATCAACTGAGCTGCTAGGAATGGTGGTTCCTGGCATTTCTGTGCTTGGAGGTGTTACAGGAATAACCAGACTTCACTCTTTGGCCGTTACATAGAAAGGGGCTTTCTCTGCTGTCCTCCTGACTGTGTTATTGAGAGAGTCTACACTGAGGTCAGCGACTTCCTACCCAAGAGTGAGAACCCAGAAACAACTAACCTGTCTCACTGGACTTCAAAGACTGTCAATGTCAAAGACTGTCAATGTCATAAACAACATCGTTGGCTTCTCATACAGCTCATCACCTCCACGCATGACTTCATTTTGCCCCAGCCCACATAATCTCTGAGACATGCTGTCATTGCTTTTCCAGGGCTGAACAAGACACATTTCCTCCTTGGGTATGACCCCACCAATGCAGCAGTGGGCTCCTAGGTCTGCCTTAGAAGACAGAACGATCCCCCACGCTGTTCCTTCTCTCCGTAAATACTTTGTACATCATTCTCATTTCCATCCTGGCAGAGTGGGGATCCTCATCCCTTATCTCTCCATCCTGTGTCTTACAAGTATGAATTTTCATTGCAATGCTTTGTCCAAACAGACTCAATCCCTTTTGATGCTACTATATTTCTTTCTTTTCTTGATATCGCTAATTATTGTTGGACTTGTGGCATTAACTGAAGTAATATCTACCGCTCTATCCCTGCTATAATCACAGAATCACAGAATCACAGAATCTTCCAGGTTGGAAGGGACCTTAAAGATCATCTTGTCCAATCGTCAACCCAACTGACAAAAATAGACACCCACACAACAAACAAGGAGCATCATCACTAAACCAGACCTCCCAGCACTACATCACCCCGTCTTTTGAACACCTCCAGGGATGGGGCCTCAACCACCTCCCTGGGCAGCCCATTCTAAAGCCTGAGAACCCTTTCCGTGAAAAAATGTTTCCTAATATCCAGCCTGAACCTCCCCTGGCGCAACTTGAGGCCATTTCCTCTTGTCCTGTCGCCTGTGACTTGGGAGAAGAGCCCGACCCCCAACTCTCTACACCCTCCTTTCAGGTAGTTGTAGAGAGCAATAAGGTCTCCCCTCAGCCTCCTCTTCTCCAGGCTGAATAACCCCAGTTCCCTCAGCCTCTCCTCATACGACTTATTCTCCAGACCCCTCACCATCTTTGTCGCCCTTCTCTGGAATAATGATTTTGCTTTAATAACACCAAAGGTGAAGTACTTTGATTTTATTGAGAAAAAATCACTAAATACTCTGTGCGTGTGATTGAGGGGATAGGGAAAAGGAGAGTGGCAATCTACCACCTGTAAATTTTGGGGGCGGGGGGAGGCTCTATACACAGGTTTCTCAAGCAGCATGGCTAATCAGAAATGTGCAAAAATCCTCTCTAGAAAAAGACGCTCCTTCCTTCCCACAGTAGAGCAGGAAGAGGCCAGTGACTAATACCATCCCATCCAGCTGGTAAGGAACAGTCATTACTTCTTCCCCTAGAATGGAACAGCAACCACTTGTGGTTGTTTGAATCCTACACTTCTGCCGAAAGCAGATGGAACTTCCTCAGTCCCTGTTCCCTTTCCC